TGTGTGAGAGAGAGAGTGTGTGTGTGTGTCTGTGTGAGTGTGAGAATGTCTGTGTGAGTGTGAGAGTGTCTGTGTGAGAGAGAGAGTGTGTGTCAGAGTGAGTGTGAGAGTGTCTGTGTGAGTGTGTGAGTGTGAGTGTGTGTGTGGAGCAGCATTTACTGCTGCAATTTAGTGTGTTACTCAACACACACAGAGCTCTGGGTAATGATCAGTGCGTGTGTTTCATGTGCAGGATCCTCCATGCCTGCAGACAGACGGCCGTTTAGTACCGCTAAACGAACACTAGGCATCTCTAAACCCACAGCCGCCAGCAGCCTCCCAGCAGGTGACCAGTTAACCAGAAACTGATTCATGTGGATGATTAGGAGTTACAGCAATAGTTCAGTCAAACATGAATATCTGCTGAAAGTGTCAGATCAGGATGAGTTTGTTTCTTCATCAGGTTTGTAGAAATGTAGCACTGCATCAGTGTCTCAGCAATGGATGCTCTGCAAGTGAATGGGTGCCGTCAGAACGAGAGTCCAAACAGCTGATAAAAACATCACAATTATCCACAGCACTCCAGTCCATCAGTTAACATCTGGAGAAGACAAAAGCTGAAACACATCCAGCATTAAGATGCTTTTAACTAAAATACTAGAGTCTAATCCATAATAACGCTTCCTCCAGTGAGTCAGTGTTCTGGTGTGAATCAGGAGAGAAATCTGCACAGATCAAGCAGCGTTTAAACAGCTCTAAACACATATGTGGCTGGATTTTGATGCGAGAGACAACAGCAGATGCACTTTTTCACTGGAGGAAGAGTTATGGATTATGGACTCAATGGTATTTAAAAATGAACTCTCATTCTGACGGCACCCATTCACTGCAGAGCATCCATTGCTGAGACACTGATGCAGTGCTACATTTCTACAAACCTGATGAAGAAACAAACTCATCCTGATCTGACACTTTCAGCAGATATTCATGTTTGACTGAACTGTTCCTTTAACATCTCTTTCTGTAAAGCTGCTTTAAAGATGCTATGCCATTAACTGAGTTGACTAGTGAAAGAACTGGGTTGTTTTTAACGGGGTTTGTGGCGTAATGCTAACGACACAGAAGATAATTCCCATCCATCACTAGGTTAAAAAGAAGGTTTGAGGGTTTAAAACCAGAGACACAGCCTGAATTTCTGTTGAAATGATTAAAACCACTTTTTAATTTGAGCGGTAAAGTGTCTAAATACTTGTGATTAAACGTTTGGAATTATTACGCTTTCTTAAATGTTTCTAAGAGTCTCTTCTGCTCACCAGAGCTGCGTTTATTTAATCAAAAATTATTTAATTTATTCTAATGTAAAGCAGCTGTTTTCTCTGTGAATCTCTGTTAAACTGTAATGTATTTCTGTGATGCGCAGCTGTATTTTCAGCATCATTCCTCCAGTCTTCAGTGTCACACGATCTTCAGAAATCAGTATAATATGCTGATCTGCTGCTCGAGAAACATTTCTGATTATCATCAATGTTGAACACAGTTGTGCTGCACAATATTTCTGTGATGCATTGTATTTCTCAGGATTCACAGATGAACAGAAAGTTCAAAAGAACAGCGTTTGTAACATTATAAGTGTGTTCAGTGTCACTTTCAGTGATCAGTTTAATGCGAATGTTGCTGTGTTTCAGCGGCGTCTGCAGGTGTGTCGCTGAAGCCGCAGCCGTCCTCGTTCTTCGCTCCTGCTCCGGGTCAGCTGTTCGCCGCGCCTGCTCAGAGTTCACCGAGCTGCACCAGCGACACCTGGAAGTTCCTCCAGAGTCTGACGGGAGACTCTCAGCCCAAAGCTGCGGCCAGCGCCTTCACGCAGGACTTCCCCACCGTCAACCTGCACGACCTGCACGACTTCAACAGCTTCATGGCATCGGATCAGACGAGCGCCGAGCCCGCCGCGGAGCCCATCCAGAGCACCGCCGACGACGATCTCCCCGAGTTTCCCAGCTTCTCGGAAGTGCAAGGCTCCGACGTCGACAACATCAACATCGAGGATTTCCAAGCGCTGCTGGTTCAGAGCGGGTTCCCCGGGGAAGCGGGACTCTCGCTGGGGAAGCCGGGAAGCTCTACGGAGCCGGCGGCTGATCACGCGGGGAACGGCTCCACATGGATGTCCTTCCCACCCAGCATCGCCAGCCTCATACACAACGAGAGCATGATGGAGAGCGCGGCTCCTCCGGCTCCGGCCCCCGGCGTCCTCGACGACCTGGAGGTGCTCAACTCCATCGACGACGACCGCTTCATGTCCATCTTCACCAGCGGCCACCAGGTCGGATTCCTGTCTGGACACCCCACCTAAAACACTCGAGAAGATCCTGGAGCATAAACGCATTTAAACTCAGTTTTGTCTTCAAACCCCATAAATATATATATATATATATACACACACATGAGATGAATTCAGATTTAATGGCTTTAGCAGGTGGCGGTTTTCCTCAGATGTGTATTTTGCTTACTGTGCTTATCTCGTCTCGTGTCTTGAAGAGGTTCACCAGCTAAACCAGATTTCAGACCAGTAAACACACAGTGCCTTATTGAGCGGCTCAGCCAATCACTGCGCAGAATCCACAGCCTCATCGACCAATGACTGTTGAGAACACCGAACTCTAGTTCTTGTAGGGCCCTGTGATTTCTGAAGTATATTATACAGTCGAATGTGCTTCTCAATATTAATAATACAGTACACTTAAAGGAATATTGCAGTTATTATATTTTGTAAAGGTCGTGCAGCCAGGAAAATGTAAGGAATTGCTAAATTTTAATTTGATAATCTAATTAATCTTTTAATCAAATGAAGGGATAAACTTTAACGGTTTAGTGAGTGTTTTAAATATGTAAATGAAATCGTATAAAAATCTGAAAAATTAAAAGACAACAGATTTCCTGAAAACTACATAACATTTCATAAGGCCACTATTGTTGAAATGTTAATACATTAAGATGTTTTATTAATTCAATTAGACATGTTTCTGATTATAACATTTTAAAATACTCAAATTAAAAAGTAAAACAAAATTTGGAAAAAATAAAAAAAAAAATATTTTTTTCACATTGTAAGCAAATTGTTGCTTATAAAAATTCAATTAGACATGATTTTTAATCAATACTTTTATACGTTTATTATTACAAAAAAATTCTTTAACCAATAAAATGGAATGCAGAAAAAAAAACAATTTGGGGGGGAAAAATCAGATTTCATATGGCCCTAAAAATGTCATTTTTGTTTAACTTTAATACGTTTTTGTTAAATTGTGTAACTTTAATGATTTTAATTAATTAGACATGCTCTGTGATCATTACTAAAATTTCATTTAAACCATTAATTCAAGATCCAGAAAAATAAAAAATGGAAATTACGAAAAAAAAGCAAAAAAACATATTTCATAGTTTTATATTGGATAGAAACGAAAGCTGTTTAAATCTGCAGGATTAGCCCTAAAGCAGCACGAGCACTAGTAAGTCATCATGTTTATCTAGTGCCGGTCCAGTTAGAGTAGCTCTGAATGTTTCAGCTTCGTGAGGCTTCGGCCACATTCTCCACCAGTCTCTGTTTTTATTGTCTGTGCATTTATTCTGGCGATCCGTTACACACATTATGCATGAGCTAATCTGACCGTATCTGGCCGTTTGAGCCTAAACTAGCACTGACAGCTGCGCTCCACATTCACATGCTTGCAAAAGGGAAGCGTGCCACTGAAAGGATTTGTAAATAGCTTTAAACCATCAGATCTGACATCAGTAACCAACTTCAGAAAATCCACTGCTGTAGCTTTAATACAATAATCCTTCATTATGTTCTGCTGTAATTGTAGGCAATCATGTTAACTGCAAGCATGTTTTACGTGTTACGTGTTATGCATCACAAACATTAATCGCTCAACTTGCATGGAAAAAGAGACAGAGGCAATCGCTTCTCTGTGTTGTGGCCTTAATGTTTTACTTTTTTTTTGTACTATTATTTGAGCTGTAATAAATGCATTTACAACTCACAATTCTGCCTTTTTTCTTATAATTGAGTTTACATCGTGCAATTGACTTTTCTAGTAATATTGAGATTATATAAAGCAATTTTGACTTCTTGCCATTCAGATTTTTTCCTTGTAATTTTAAGTTTACATCTGGCAATTCAGGTTTTTTTCTTGTAATTTTAAGTTTACATCTGGCAATTCAGGGTTTTTTTCTTGTAATTTTAAGTTTACATCTGGCAATTAAGGTTTGTTTTTCTGACTTCTCGTAAATTTTAAGTTTACATCTGGCAATTCAGGTTTTTTTCTTGTAATTTTAAGTTTACATCTGGCAATTCAGGTTTTTTTCTTGTAATTTTAAGTTTACATCTGGCAATTCATGTTTTTTTTCTTGTAATTTTACGTTTGCATCTGGCAATTCAGGTTTTTTTTCTTGTAATTTTAAGTTTACATCTCGCAGTTCAGATTTTTTTCTTGTAATTTTAAGTTTACATCTCGCAGTTCAGATTTTTTTCTTGTAATTTTAAGTTTACATCTCGCAGTTCAGATTTTTTTCTTGTAATTTTAAGTTTACATCTCGCAGTTCAGATTTTTTTCTTGTAATTTTAAGTTTACATCTCGCAGTTCAGATTTTTTTCTTGTAATTTTAAGTTTACATCTCGCAGTTCAGATTTTTTTCTTGTAATTTTAAGTTTACATCTCGCAGTTCAGATTTTTTTCTTGTAATTTTAAGTTTACATCTCGCAGTTCAGATTTTTTTCTTGTAATTTTAAGTTTACATCTCGCAGTTCAGATTTTTTTCTTGTAATTTTAAGTTTACATCTCGCAGTTCAGATTTTTTTCTTGTAATTTTAAGTTTACATCTCGCAGTTCAGATTTTTTTCTTGTAATTTTAAGTTTACATCTCGCAGTTCAGATTTTTTTCTTGTAATTTTAAGTTTACATCTCGCAGTTCAGATTTTTTTCTTGTAATTTTAAGTTTACATCTCGCAGTTCAGATTTTTTTCTTGTAATTTTAAGTTTACATCTCGCAGTTCAGATTTTTTTCTTGTAATTTTAAGTTTACATCTCGCAGTTCAGATTTTTTTCTTGTAATTTTAAGTTTACATCTCGCAGTTCAGATTTTTTTCTTGTAATTTTAAGTTTACATCTCGCAGTTCAGATTTTTTTCTTGTAATTTTAAGTTTACATCTCGCAGTTCAGATTTTTTTCTTGTAATTTTAAGTTTACATCTCGCAGTTCAGATTTTTTTCTTGTAATTTTAAGTTTACATCTCGCAGTTCAGATTTTTTTCTTGTAATTTTAAGTTTACATCTCGCAGTTCAGATTTTTTTCTTGTAATTTTAAGTTTACATCTCGCAGTTCAGATTTTTTTCTTGTAATTTTAAGTTTACATCTCGCAGTTCAGATTTTTTTCTTGTAATTTTAAGTTTACATCTCGCAGTTCAGATTTTTTTCTTGTAATTTTAAGTTTACATCTCGCAGTTCAGATTTTTTTCTTGTAATTTTAAGTTTACATCTCGCAGTTCAGATTTTTTTCTTGTAATTTTAAGTTTACATCTCGCAGTTCAGATTTTTTTCTTGTAATTTTAAGTTTACATCTCGCAGTTCAGATTTTTTTCTTGTAATTTTAAGTTTACATCTCGCAGTTCAGATTTTTTTCTTGTAATTTTAAGTTTACATCTCGCAGTTCAGATTTTTTTCTTGTAATTTTAAGTTTACATCTCGCAGTTCAGATTTTTTTCTTGTAATTTTAAGTTTACATCTCGCAGTTCAGATTTTTTTCTTGTAATTTTAAGTTTACATCTCGCAGTTCAGATTTTTTTCTTGTAATTTTAAGTTTACATCTCGCAGTTCAGATTTTTTTCTTGTAATTTTAAGTTTACATCTCGCAGTTCAGATTTTTTTCTTGTAATTTTAAGTTTACATCTCGCAGTTCAGATTTTTTTCTTGTAATTTTAAGTTTACATCTCGCAGTTCAGATTTTTTTCTTGTAATTTTAAGTTTACATCTCGCAGTTCAGATTTTTTTCTTGTAATTTTAAGTTTACATCTCGCAGTTCAGATTTTTTTCTTGTAATTTTAAGTTTACATCTCGCAGTTCAGATTTTTTTCTTGTAATTTTAAGTTTACATCTCGCAGTTCAGATTTTTTTCTTGTAATTTTAAGTTTACATCTCGCAGTTCAGATTTTTTTCTTGTAATTTTAAGTTTACATCTCGCAGTTCAGATTTTTTTCTTGTAATTTTAAGTTTACATCTCGCAGTTCAGATTTTTTTCTTGTAATTTTAAGTTTACATCTCGCAGTTCAGATTTTTTTCTTGTAATTTTAAGTTTACATCTCGCAGTTCAGATTTTTTTCTTGTAATTTTAAGTTTACATCTCGCAGTTCAGATTTTTTTCTTGTAATTTTAAGTTTACATCTCGCAGTTCAGATTTTTTTCTTGTAATTTTAAGTTTACATCTCGCAGTTCAGATTTTTTTCTTGTAATTTTAAGTTTACATCTCGCAGTTCAGATTTTTTTCTTGTAATTTTAAGTTTACATCTCGCAGTTCAGATTTTTTTCTTGTAATTTTAAGTTTACATCTCGCAGTTCAGATTTTTTTCTTGTAATTTTAAGTTTACATCTCGCAGTTCAGATTTTTTTCTTGTAATTTTAAGTTTACATCTCGCAGTTCAGATTTTTTTCTTGTAATTTTAAGTTTACATCTCGCAGTTCAGATTTTTTTCTTGTAATTTTAAGTTTACATCTCGCAGTTCAGATTTTTTTCTTGTAATTTTAAGTTTACATCTCGCAGTTCAGATTTTTTTCTTGTAATTTTAAGTTTACATCTCGCAGTTCAGATTTTTTTCTTGTAATTTTAAGTTTACATCTCGCAGTTCAGATTTTTTTCTTGTAATTTTAAGTTTACATCTCGCAGTTCAGATTTTTTTCTTGTAATTTTAAGTTTACATCTCGCAGTTCAGATTTTTTTCTTGTAATTTTAAGTTTACATCTCGCAGTTCAGATTTTTTTCTTGTAATTTTAAGTTTACATCTCGCAGTTCAGATTTTTTTCTTGTAATTTTAAGTTTACATCTCGCAGTTCAGATTTTTTTCTTGTAATTTTAAGTTTACATCTCGCAGTTCAGATTTTTTTCTTGTAATTTTAAGTTTACATCTCGCAGTTCAGATTTTTTTCTTGTAATTTTAAGTTTACATCTCGCAGTTCAGATTTTTTTCTTGTAATTTTAAGTTTACATCTCGCAGTTCAGATTTTTTTCTTGTAATTTTAAGTTTACATCTCGCAGTTCAGATTTTTTTCTTGTAATTTTAAGTTTACATCTCGCAGTTCAGATTTTTTTCTTGTAATTTTAAGTTTACATCTCGCAGTTCAGATTTTTTTCTTGTAATTTTAAGTTTACATCTCGCAGTTCAGATTTTTTTCTTGTAATTTTAAGTTTACATCTCGCAGTTCAGATTTTTTTCTTGTAATTTTAAGTTTACATCTCGCAGTTCAGATTTTTTTCTTGTAATTTTAAGTTTACATCTCGCAGTTCAGATTTTTTTCTTGTAATTTTAAGTTTACATCTCGCAGTTCAGATTTTTTTCTTGTAATTTTAAGTTTACATCTCGCAGTTCAGATTTTTTTCTTGTAATTTTAAGTTTACATCTCGCAGTTCAGATTTTTTTCTTGTAATTTTAAGTTTACATCTCGCAGTTCAGATTTTTTTCTTGTAATTTTAAGTTTACATCTCGCAGTTCAGATTTTTTTCTTGTAATTTTAAGTTTACATCTCGCAGTTCAGATTTTTTTCTTGTAATTTTAAGTTTACATCTCGCAGTTCAGATTTTTTTCTTGTAATTTTAAGTTTACATCTCGCAGTTCAGATTTTTTTCTTGTAATTTTAAGTTTACATCTCGCAGTTCAGATTTTTTTCTTGTAATTTTAAGTTTACATCTCGCAGTTCAGATTTTTTTCTTGTAATTTTAAGTTTACATCTCGCAGTTCAGATTTTTTTCTTGTAATTTTAAGTTTACATCTCGCAGTTCAGATTTTTTTCTTGTAATTTTAAGTTTACATCTCGCAGTTCAGATTTTTTTCTTGTAATTTTAAGTTTACATCTCGCAGTTCAGATTTTTTTCTTGTAATTTTAAGTTTACATCTCGCAGTTCAGATTTTTTTCTTGTAATTTTAAGTTTACATCTCGCAGTTCAGATTTTTTTCTTGTAATTTTAAGTTTACATCTCGCAGTTCAGATTTTTTTCTTGTAATTTTAAGTTTACATCTCGCAGTTCAGATTTTTTTCTTGTAATTTTAAGTTTACATCTCGCAGTTCAGATTTTTTTCTTGTAATTTTAAGTTTACATCTCGCAGTTCAGATTTTTTTCTTGTAATTTTAAGTTTACATCTCGCAGTTCAGATTTTTTTCTTGTAATTTTAAGTTTACATCTCGCAGTTCAGATTTTTTTCTTGTAATTTTAAGTTTACATCTCGCAGTTCAGATTTTTTTCTTGTAATTTTAAGTTTACATCTCGCAGTTCAGATTTTTTTCTTGTAATTTTAAGTTTACATCTCGCAGTTCAGATTTTTTTCTTGTAATTTTAAGTTTACATCTCGCAGTTCAGATTTTTTTCTTGTAATTTTAAGTTTACATCTCGCAGTTCAGATTTTTTTCTTGTAATTTTAAGTTTACATCTCGCAGTTCAGATTTTTTTCTTGTAATTTTAAGTTTACATCTCGCAGTTCAGATTTTTTTCTTGTAATTTTAAGTTTACATCTCGCAGTTCAGATTTTTTTCTTGTAATTTTAAGTTTACATCTCGCAGTTCAGATTTTTTTCTTGTAATTTTAAGTTTACATCTCGCAGTTCAGATTTTTTTCTTGTAATTTTAAGTTTACATCTCGCAGTTCAGATTTTTTTCTTGTAATTTTAAGTTTACATCTCGCAGTTCAGATTTTTTTCTTGTAATTTTAAGTTTACATCTCGCAGTTCAGATTTTTTTCTTGTAATTTTAAGTTTACATCTCGCAGTTCAGATTTTTTTCTTGTAATTTTAAGTTTACATCTCGCAGTTCAGATTTTTTTCTTGTAATTTTAAGTTTACATCTCGCAGTTCAGATTTTTTTCTTGTAATTTTAAGTTTACATCTCGCAGTTCAGATTTTTTTCTTGTAATTTTAAGTTTACATCTCGCAGTTCAGATTTTTTTCTTGTAATTTTAAGTTTACATCTCGCAGTTCAGATTTTTTTCTTGTAATTTTAAGTTTACATCTCGCAGTTCAGATTTTTTTCTTGTAATTTTAAGTTTACATCTCGCAGTTCAGATTTTTTTCTTGTAATTTTAAGTTTACATCTCGCAGTTCAGATTTTTTTCTTGTAATTTTAAGTTTACATCTCGCAGTTCAGATTTTTTTCTTGTAATTTTAAGTTTACATCTGGCAATTCAGGTTTTTCTTTGTAATTCTCAGTTTACATCTCGCAGTTCAGATTTTTTTCTTGTAATTTTAAGTTTACATCTGGCAATTCTGACTTGTTTTTCTGACTTCTCGTAATTTTAAGTTTACATCTGGCAATTCAGGTTTTTTTCTTGTAATTCTCAGTTTACATCTGGCAATTCATGTTTTTCTTTGTAATTCTCAGTTTACATCTGGCAATTCAGGTTTGTTTCCTTGTAATTTTAAGTTTACATCTGGCAATTCAGGTTTTTTTCTTGTAATTCTCAGTTTACATCTGGCAATTCATGTTTTTCCTTGTAATTTTAAGTTTACATCTGGCAATTCAGGTTTTTTTCCTTGTAATTTTAAGTTTACATCTCACAATTTTGATTTTTTTTGTGTGTGTTTTAATTCTGTTTACATCTCGCAGTTCAGATTTTTTTCTTGTAATTTTAAGTTTACATCTGGCAATTCTGACTTCTCATAATTTGGAGTTTACATCTCGCAATTTATTTTGTAATACAGCGTTTGTATTATTCTGAGTTCTCACAATTCTGATTTATTTCCTCATATTTCTGAGTTTTCATCACGGACTGCAGTGCAAATCTCCTGTCCTGACACGATTTGAGGAGGATCTGCGTTGTGCACAAATGAACTGCACTAACCCTTTATTATCTGAGCTATAATGAAGGCGAATAACTGCTTTATTGCACAGAGAATCACCGTTTGAAAAGTCCCAGATTTATTTGGCAAAATGAACAAAACCAACCTTGTTGAATATAAAAGATGTTTTAAAAGAATAACACAAATCTCAAAGCACTTCAACATTTCGGCTGTATGCTCACACGTCGGCATGCAGTTTCACAACAGAACGTTTCTACAAGTCAAATGTCCTCCAAAAGTGCAGTTACGAACGAAAAGGAAAACAAACAGGCGTTCAGGCAGGGACCGGAGGAGCTTCACGTGAGCTCCTGGCTGGTGACCTTGTTGATGATGTGCGAGCGGCGAGGAACGCTCTCCAGGTCGAACATGCTCTCGTAGATGGTGGGGCAGATCTTCCAGCGGTTGTTGCGGTAGATGCCCAGGTACGAGTAGACGTCGGGCTTGTAGTAGAGGACGCACTTGACGCCGGCGGTGCGGATGACGGCGTCCAGATGCATCACCTGCTCCTCGTCGGTGAAGTTCTGGTTGTAGACGCAGATGACGTGTCTGGAGTCGGAGCGCGGGTCTCTGGGACTCACTTTGGCCGAGTCGATCTTACCGTCGAGCGCGGCTCTGGCGATGCTCTCCCAGGCGCGGTCCACCTTGAAGCCCGTGTCCAGGTGCATCAGCCACTTGCCGTAGAGCACGCTGTGATTGAGCGCCAGCTCTCTGATGGTGTGGAAGCTGACACTGCGCCCGCTCTCCTGCAGCGTCTCCCAGCTGTCCTGCAGCCCCTCCACGTCTCCGGCGTCCGCACAGTACTGCGGCCCACGCACCGCGATCCAGCCCACCGGCCCCCCGGCCCCACAGCGGCTGACCTGCGAGGGCCGGTTGGACTCCAGCCAGCTGCTGAACTCGGCTCGGGGCGTTTTGCGGGCGTCGAAGACGATCCAGGGGTCCATGTCGGCGGCCATGGCCTCGGCGGCGTAGTCCTCGGCTGAGAGATGCTCTCCGTGCCCCGCGGCCTCGTCCTGCGCCATGCCACCCGCTGCTGGAGCACACACACACACACACACACACACGAGAGCGGACACGAGAGCGGAGCTCAACGAGGAGCTTCTCTACACACAGGGGCTTTCTGCTGCAAAATAACAAGCAAATGGGAATCTGAAACTTTTGGACTTTTTTAGCAACTCTCAATTCTGACTTTGCACATTTATCTCTCACAATTCTGAGTTTAGTTCACATTTCTCTCAATTCAGGCTGTTTTCTTACATTCTTACAGTTAAATGTCATAATTCTGATAGTTTTGCCCTTCTGAATTCTGAGCTGATATCTTGCATTAGTTAGTTAGTTAGTTAGTTAGCATAATAGAAAGGTCAGCGAGAGGTTTTCTTCGGCTCTCGCAGGATGCTTCTATCACACTAAAGCGCACGTTTCGTCACAAACCCATTGCATGCGCTCGCTGTCGTATAAACACATCAAAAGTGCAGGATGCTCACTCTGTTGTGTGTGTTTCTAGCAAAGCTGTGCTGAGTCACTGCGGCTCTCACCCGCGTGCCCCGCTCAACACTTCCGGTTTCCGCTTCGTCTTCTTCGTCTCTTATTTCCTGTCGGATCATTGCCGCGATGGAGATGCTGAAGCGCTGGTGTTCAAGGAAAACAAAAACAATAATGCTAATAAAAATCATATTTAATCTATATATCTTTATCTAAGTATTATTCTTAACATGCGTTTGTTTTAGGTGGCGTACTGTCGGGTGGTGGCTGTATTTAAGCACGCGGAAGCACCGTAAAGCAGCGAGAAGAGGCGCAGCAGAAAGCGCGCAGATCCGCCGTAAGATGCCGAGAAGCGTCGCAGCGACGGCCGGTGTTCTGATCGCTTCAGCCGCGGCGCTATCCTTCACATTCAGCGAGCTTGACCGCGGGATGCCGAGCAAAAAGAAGAAATACAACGCCAGATTCCCCCCGGTGAGACACACACACACACACACACCCACACTCACTCTCTCTCTCACACACACACTCACACACACACACACACACACACTCGGGTCTACATCTGCAACGCGAACGCGAGAGACTCGGTCGGCTAGCGGCTAAGCGTTAGCTTGCTAATCGATCAATGCGCTTTAATCGGGTTTAATATGATGCAGGCCGTCAGTTTGTGGCGTGAGGGAGTGTGTATATATATATATTATATGTGTATATGTAAGAATATTTGCTCCTCAGGGGGTTAGCATGAATGCTAGCTAACCCCTTTCTCTCTCTGTGTGAGAGTGAGTGAGGTGTGTGTGTGTGTGTGAGAGTGAGGAGTGTGTGTGTGAGAGTGAGGAGTGTGTGTGTGAGAGTGAGGAGTGTGTGTGTGAGAGTGAGGAGTGTGTGTGTGAGAGTGAGGAGTGTGTGTGTGAGAGTGAGGAGTGTGTGTGTGAGAGTGAGGAGTGTGTGTGTGAGAGTGAGGAGTGTGTGTGTGAGAGTGAGGAGTGTGTGTGTGAGAGTGAGGAGTGTGTGTGTGAGAGTGAGGAGTGTGTGTGTGAGAGTGAGGAGTGTGTGTGTGAGAGTGAGGAGTGTGTGTGTGAGAGTGAGGAGTGTGTGTGTGAGAGTGAGGAGTGTGTGTGTGAGAGTGAGGAGTGTGTGTGTGAGAGTGAGGAGTGTGTGTGTGAGAGTGAGGAGTGTGTGTGTGAGAGTGAGGAGTGTGTGTGAGTGAGTGAGGTGTGTGTGAGAGTGAGTGAGGTGTGTGTGTGTGTGTGTGTGAGAGTGAGTGAGGTGAGTGTGTGAGAGTGAGGGGTGTGTGTGAGTGTGTG